CCTAATATTTCTAATCATTTTAATTCATACTTTAAGCTTTATAAAGTTATAATTTGTTAATATTAATATTTGCGCGTATTTCAGGTTCCTGATCATTCATTTTTTAAAGGTTTATAACTTTAAATTAAATTGTGAAGCGCTGAGTAATCATACGACGTTCAATATTCTTTCTTTCAATATGACTAAATAATCCCAATTATAGCAATCTGATACTCATGTCTCAATGTTTTATCGCTGAATGTGATGAAAACATTTGCAAAAGGTTCGCTTATTGAAATAAATCTACACCAGTTAGTACTTCGATTTCCAGATAAAGGGAAAAGGCTCATTATCTGCCATATTGGCAGTAAGGATGGATATGTTGTTGACGGTCTGTGGTGCTTTGAGTCTAAGAAAACTGGAGATTACCACGAGGAAATGAATGGCGAATCGTTTGAACAGTGGTTTTCAAAAATTTTACCGAACTTAGAGGAAAACGCAGTAATTGTGTTGGATAATGCGCCTTATCATTCTCGAAGAATGGAGAAGGTCCCAACAACGGCTTCAAGGAAAGTTGATGTTCAAAATTGGCTCCGCTCGAAAAATATCAACTTTGAAGAAGCAATGCTGAAAGTACAATTATTAAGAATTGTCAAGGATCACAAGGCGGAATATCAAAAATACGCCATTGACGAAATGGCAGCAAGTCAAAATAAAACTGTGCTCCGTTTACCTCCATACCATTGCGAGCTCAATCCCATTGAGCTCATATGGGCAGAGGTTAAAAATTATATAGCTAAGCACAATACAACTTTTAAATTTTGTGACCTCAAAGGACTTTTCAAAGAAGCACTAGAGTTAATAACAGCGCAAAGATGGGAAAACTGTATTAAGCACGTGAAAGACAAAGTTGAAAAGAGAATGTGGGAACTGGACAATATTTTAGAGGGACAAGTCGAGCCATTCATTATTGACGTTGGTGCTTCAGGCAGCAGCGATGATGAAAGCTCATCAAGCTCATCTTTCCAATAAAAGATGTCGTTCATCAAATTCGGTAAGTTATAAGTAATTATAAAGCTACTGTATTTTTTAATTAATTATTGACATTTTTAAACCCATTTTGGCAAAACCTATTCAAGAATCTACTTTCTGACAATGTTCAACCATGCACATTTTTTTACGTTTTGAACGTTTTAATTTGGTTACATATTTACCTATAAATCAAAAAATATACTAATCAATATTCTAAAAGCAATTTTAAGAGATATACGAATATTTTTAATTTAGGCTAATTTAAACGCCATTTTGAGATTATATTCGACTGTATTTCACCAAACATCAGGCGGCATCCGAAGCTGGAAATCGAAGCGAAAATTTTGAAACCCTTATGTATATTTACATCATTATATATTTCTTACCCCACCCCCATATGATCCTATATCCATCACCAATCGTTTACACATCGAATTGTGCTAATTTACTACAAAGTTACGCAAAGCAGCATCTACTATCTAAAATATGTACTGCGTGACTCTTAATACGTCCCTGCCGAATGTTACAGCGTTCGATGATCACGTGGTCTTGTTTATGTCCGGTCTATCTCTTATCTGAATATACTGTAAATCTTGATAACGTGTTAACGTATGCATCAGTCCATCAAAACGTACCGGGATAATGCTCCAAATATTCAAATTACAATATCACAAATCGAGTCTCCTTATTTATCAACGACATTAAAATTCCATTTTTTGATAATGCCAAGAATCTAGGTGTTGTATTTGGTTCAAACCTTAGAGTTAACATACACGTGAATAGTATTATGAAGTCGAGTAATATGAAAATGAAGCTCTTATATTCTAATCGCCATACGAGTATTCTAAACCTTAGATGCCATAAGAAGTTGTGCTTTTAGCGTACCGTCTGGTCCTCATTTACCCATACCTAGACTCGGTTTGTAAGTCAAAATTGCAGAAGCTTCAGAACAGCTGTTGTAGATTTATATTTGGTCTTAGGAAGTATACTGGCGTTTCTTCAAAAATCAAGGATATACACTGGCTCGGAGTTGATGGCTTATTCAATTTAAGCCCGTCTATTTACTCGATGAATTGATTGCTCGTGAAAACCAGATTACTCTAAATCTGCGGCACAATTATCTACTCTCCATTCCTATATATCGTACGTCAGTTTATTGCGGCTAAGTTAGACAATTCTTTACCAGCTAACTCTAAGAGCTTAAATTTGCAGGGCTTCAAGAAGATAGTCAGGTTGCACTTTCGGAGCTCAGCACATTAATAATAATAGTACTATAATTATTATTATTACTATTATTCGCCAAAATACAAAAAAATTGACAAATAAATATGAAAAAGCCACAGAAGGCTGTGTGTGGATTATATCTTCATAACTAACAATCAATCATATTTATGTGTATAACAATTATTGTTAATTCTAAAAGATATTAATATGATTGGAATTTTGTAGTTTGTTTTCTATATAATTATATATAGTCTTTCGCTGCACAGTACAAACCCAGTCCTTTAATTTTCGAATAAATTTTTGTCTATTGGAAAACCCAGTTGCTGAACTATAGTTTGTTTATAATAAGTTCCCTCTATTGTTTCTATTCTTTGTAGATGTTCATATTCTATATCTACTCCTTTTTGATGCATTTGTTACTGGTTCATGTCTTCACCCTAATGGGTTGTAATTTGAGTTTCTCTTTATTAATGATAGAGTACACATACCTAGGCCAAACCCTTTTCAATGGCTGTCTTTTAGTAAATTTCATAGTTGATTGAGTGTATAATTTGACACGTAGTACATCTTCCTTTCTCAATGATTCAGTATTGTGTTGGGAAAAAACTCTGTGGTTTTTTCCCCGTTACTTGGTTTCCTGTCGAACATATCTTCTCGAGGACATGCATTAATGCAAGTAGTTCGATGGTATAAGAGAAAAAAAGACTTACCTCTGAAGGCTAGAACCCCACAAGAAAAATGGAAGAGGTATCGCCCAAACCAAAGCAACTAAACGTATATATATATATATATATATATATACGTGAGCAGTAGTCATTGCCATTGCCAACAACCAGTTGGGCATAAAATACAATTAACTGTTAATTGGCAAATTGGCAAAATCTTTAGGCTTAAGTTGACTCTTTTGACGATAAAATCATGCTTTCGGCATTCTCTATGGAGCCTTCATCAGGATTCTGAAAACACACTTGTGATGCTAGCAATGAATACAGGACCGATTTAAATTGTCAAACAACTTACTCGTCGATTAGGTTGCAGCCACAAGGTGTTTCAAAATGAACGTAGAGGAGATAGAACTTGTTATAAATATAAAAAAATAGGTCGGAGACATTGGGCTTGTTGACAACGACAGATACCTTCGTTACATGTTAAAAATATCAATCCACCCGAACAAATTAAAAAGTATTAGACGTGAGAAGACATTTTAATGAAACAATCGGAATGCAGTCTCTAACCTGCTACTTCCGCTGCACGTGGAGAGGGGGACGGCACGGAAAGACAAAGCGTCGACAGATGACATGTGATTGACGCGACGGAACGTGGAACTGTAAACCCCATTGTCCAATCTGGGTATGAAGTATACGAGAGACGCTCGGTAAACCTCCTCCCAAATTACTAAAATGCTGAATTAATTTGTTTTGAAAAATGTGTAGTTCATATAAGTGCACGAATGTGAGATAGTGATACACACTTGAAAAGATGGGTTATGTGAGTTTATATTAAAGATTGTGAGTAAGAAATTTCAATTACCAGGATAGCAATTGGAAATGTATTCTAATTTTGGGACGAAGTTGGTTCGATATATATTTATATCCCAGAATCTGAAGATTGAACAAAATGGCGCTCATACCTCAATTTCAGAGGGAAAGTGACCGATACGAAACAACTAACTTAATAGAAGGAGGATTCAATTAGTGGCTTTGAAGAAGATATGTTCGACAGGAAACCAAGTAACGGCGAAAAAAAACAAATACTGATGTGTGAATTTATACAATTAATGAACTATGAAATTTACCGAAGGAAGGTCATTGAAAAAGGTTTGGCCTAGGATTGAGCACCCTATCATTAACAAAGGGAAACCGTCATTAATAAAGTGATCAGAAATAGTAAAAAAGGATACGGGATTTTAACACGTGATAACCGTAAGTGGTCAAAAATGGTAAAAAAAAAAGATACGCGATTTTAGCACGTGACAAAGTGGTAGAGAAGTCATTTCTGAACTTCGCTTTACTGAATAGAGGCATTATTATTATTATAGATTCTAGCTTCCTGCTTACATATACGAGCCCCTTCCCACTTCAGTTGGCCCAACTATTGAAATCTTTTCGTTTTTTTCTAATCAAACACAAATAATAAAAATGTAGCAGGGTGTTATAGGTTTAAAATATTAACAACGAAAATTTTGATAATATATAGTAGAAAACATCAACTTTATCACTCTCTTATCAACTTTGTAGCATAAAAATAACACATGTTGCAATTACAGCATATCAACCTATTTTCATTTCAATGCAAAATAAGTATAAACGCATAGATGGCTGTGAAAAATAAAAGAAATGACAATTGTTTTTATTATTCACAGCTTTCAGAATACGTTTGGTTTTGGGTAGTTAAGGTTTTCAAAATGGGTAGAGGAAAGGTTATTAGTGAGAAAATTCGGTTACTGATAATTAAATTTTTTAATTCTGGGAAATCAAACTCAGAAATTGCAACTTTGTTAGACTTATCGCGGTACAGTGTGAGAAATATTGTTAGAAGATATAACGCAACTAGTTCAGTTAATATTAAAAAGAATAATCGTGAAAAACAGGCGTGCCAATTATTTACAATTAACCCATTAATGCCCACGGGGTCGATAATGACCCACGAGATATTTTAATACCCTACTCTCAGCACAACATGACAACAACGCGTAAATATTCGGCAAACGGACCACATGCCTGCATGAAGCCACGTGCTTATGGTCGACGGCATTGTGCATATTTCCGGCATCTAAACAGCAGCCCGAATTCCATAGATTGAGTGCAGTAAAACATGGCTTCCAATCATGAATGGTAAGTACATTTATTGTTTTTTATTTCTTTTATCTACTATTCAAATTAGCTTTAGGTAGCATATATCTACGACTGCAAATACATTGTTTCGAAATATTTGTAGAAATAAAAGCTGTGTATAACCTAAAAACCTTGTGGGTCTTTGTCGACCCCTTGGGCTTCAAAATACATTCTAATGTTAATTTTAATAATTCACATTATTTTTTTTGGAATGTTTTTAGTAGTTTATTTTTATTTTTTTTCCAGGACGCGTCCGTTGACAACCAGCGAATTGTTGGTAGAAATTGAAAACATCGAAAATTCCGAAGATCTTCCCGATGGAATTATTATTACTCCACCAGACGATTTTTCCGACAACACGGACTGCGACTCTGGAGACGAAGATTCCAATGACCCGGACCACTTGAACAGAAATCAACTTTCTGCTCAAGCTGAATATTACTTCATGGACAACGAAAGGAGATCACAAAATGAAACAGTGATTGAGGGGGTTGCTGGTATTGAGTGAGATGAAGAAGACAATTTGCCGCTCGCATATTTTGCAACTCACTCTGTATATGAAAAATGTATGTGGATGAAAGGCGACCTACAGAGTGATAATACGGAAACATTTTCAAATTTTCCACCTCCACTTACACTGACATCGGAGAGTTCGCCTCTCCAATTTTTTCAACTATTTTTGTCACCCGATATTCTAACAGATCTTGTAAAACACAGCGTTGTATATGCTTCTAAAAAGAACAAGCTGAACTTTGAACTTTGTTTGGACGAAATGTATGTCTTTATTGGAATTTTAGTTTTGTCTGGATACGTTCCTCTACCGAGAAGACGGATGTATTGGGAAGAAAGTGAGGATGTTCATAATGAACTAGTGGCCAAATCAATGCGTCGAAATCGATTTGAAGAGATTTCTAGCGTTTTCCATGCTGCTGACAATGACAATCTCCCAGAAGGTGATAAGTTGGGAAGGATACGTCCCTTTATTGAAGCAATAAATAAAAATTTTATCAAGTACGCACCAATTGAAAGTAATATTTCTATAGACGAAGCGATGATACCATACTACGGTAGGCACGGATGCAAGCAATACATAAGAGGCAAGCCCATTCGCTTTGGATATAAAGCTTGGGTTGCTGCATTGAAATGTGGCTATTGTTTGCAGTTTGATATATATCAAGGAAGGAAGCAGAATATAGAAAATCTAGGGGGTGTGGGTCTTGGCGAACGTGTAGTGACAAGTTTTGCTACCCTCTTAGAAAAAGAATTTCCAAATCTTAGATTTACCTTTTATTTCGACAATTCTTTTACATCTGCTAAATTGATAATATGTCTTGGTAAAAAGGGTTTTGGAGCCACCGGTACTGTAAGAGAAAATCGTACAGATGAGTGCCCTCTGAAAAACTCAACTCTTATGAAAAAAATGGAAATAGGATCCATGGATGTTGCAGTTGGGGAAAATAATAAAATAGCGGGTATTCGGTGGAAAGATAACAGTATCGTTACATTATTATCCAACGTACATGGTTTGGATCCTCTTTAAAAGTGTCTGAGATATTCTGCTAAAGAGAAAAAGAAAATAGAAATCCCCCAGCCGTTCATAGTAAAACTCGACAGCTCGACAATCATATTTCAAATTACAAAATAGCAATGAGAGGTAATAAATGGTACACTCCACTGATGTACTGGGCAATTGATGTATGTGTTGTAAATTCTTGGAATCTCGCACGGCAGTATGGATATAAAAAAGTCCAACTAGATTTTCGCAGAGGTATTGCAAAGGAACTTTTGTCAACATATGGTCGAGAACCATCTGTAGCGGGAAAAAAACGAGCTGCCATCAGATATCCTGCTTCTGCCTCTGGGAGACATCTGATAATAACGGGAGAAGTAAGACGCCGCTGTCAGAATTGCAAAAATAAAACAAACGTTGTGATGCATGCAATGTTCCTCTTCATGACAAATGCTTCTTAGAATACCATAACTCCTGATTCCATGATTATAGATAATAGTATCTTGTTCAAAGCTTTTTGTTGATAATTGTAATCAGATAAATAAAACGTATAAAAAATGCACATTATGATTTTCATTTGAAATGTTTGTGCAAACATTTTTGTAGCGCCCAAGGGGTCGCTAACGACCCAACCCAAAATGGCGGCATTTTAATTTTTTTTCGTGAAATATTCATTGATATATCTTTTATATTACTATGGTGATCACATATTTAACCGAAAACATGTTTTTCAAAAAACAGTTAATCTGGGCATTAATGGGTAAGTGCTCTGTGGAGTGACGCTGTTGGAAGGAGAATTCCGAGGTCCACAACTCATAGAGAGTAGCGCAAACTGGGATTTAGCACTTGCAAGGTAAGTTTTCTTATAAAAAAAATGAAGTAAAAACCCTAAAGTTGCGCAACTTGTTTATGGGCCAAAGAAAAGCCACTATTAACTCCACTGCAAAAGAAAAATCGGCTTAGATGGGCTACAGAACACAGACAATGGACACCTCAACAATGGTGTGCAATACAATGGAGTGATGAGGAACGATTCGAAGTTTGTGTTGGTAACAGTCGCAGTAGAGTTATTCGCAAAAAAATGAAGCATTCAATGTTGGCTGTCTGAGGAGAAAAGTGAAATTTCCAGCATTCATTATGGTCTGGAGCAGTATGTCGTCAAAATGAGTAGGAAAACTTCATTTTGTTGATGGAAATTGTTGCTTTGTTAGCTTCGCGCATTTATTCGCACATTGTTTATTTGTTCAGATGTTCTACTAGATATAGGTATAAGTGATTTCAAATATGTATTTTTCACGACTAGAGTGTATTTAAAATGTTTTTGAGGAAACATATTGTTTTAGAAGTAAATAGTTTGGTCATGTTTAGTTTATAAAGGCATATTTTGGTACAAATCTTGAAGTGGGCCAACTGAAGTAGGAAGGGGCTCGTAGACAAACAACCAAAAGTAAAGTAGAAAAGGGAGGGAACATGCTCCTGCTGTAAAATCCTTCCTTCGTTCAAACATTTTAATTGTCTGTCTTTATATTTATCTACTGGCGCTGTTCCAAGTCTAAGCAGAACGACACTGTTTTTTCTACTAACCGCCGAATATTCATCGCTCAAAAAAGCTTGGAATCAGCATGAAAAGCACGGATGGGCTCATGTGTACATACCCACACGTGGCTGTGGTTCTTTGTACGGAAGCTCGCATAAAAAGTGTATTTATTCAATTTGCGGTTCGTTAAACTCGAAGTGAAAAGCGAAAAATTGTCGGAGGCTGAGCAGGCAGTCAGCGTGTTCGTTGAAACTCTCTGCATATTTCATTCGATTAAGCGGTTGCGGCGGCAGAAAAGACGACGCTGCGTTGGAACGGCGAAGTTTCGCCTCGCAGCTTTCATTTAGGATACGGGATAGAGGATACTTAAATTGTTTGCAGGTATAGAAAGATCAAGCTCTATAACAAGTTTTATAGGTAGTGCTGGGGCGGTCGTAAAGAAGGTCTTAAAATAAGGATCTCGTGAAACCCATCAGCATTCGATGTTGTAGGATCGTAGCGTCTCGGACTTCATAGTACTAGCTCAAAGAAAATATGCTATTTTTGATGGTAATAACAACGCCAGAAAAGCGATGAAAAGAAAAAATTTTACTGCCTTCCAGCTTACAAAATGGCTAAACTAAGAATCTATGTTTTATAAACGTCCAGACAATACTTAAAAAAATATTTTTATACAACAACTGCTGTGAACATTCTAACAACGTTTATACTGGGTGCGCCATCTATTACTTTTTTTACCTATAAGTTTATGTGTTACCATGTGAGTCAAAAGTCATGTGGAACGTATCAATAATAATAATAATAATAATAATTGTCTTTATTTAAACTGTACTTCATACAGAAAAACAAGAGTTGCATATGGTGGCGAAGTTTAGCAACATGCTACTCTTACACTTAACCACCCATGCAAATAAAAACAAGTTGTTAAGTAGCAGATATCAAACAAAATATACATATATACATACATATGTACATACATACATACATATACACACATTACATACGTGCATGTTGCACCAAGGTTTGCTACATGTACACAAGGGAAGTAAAGAATCATTTAACAATATATCTATAGCAATCTAATTAAGACTACGGATCCAAGTAAATATGAGATTTGACAGCTTTCTTGAAGCAATTTAAGTACATGGTTTAGAATTCAGGACTCAAGGCATTGTATAACACTGAAGCCCTGTACGTGAAAGATCGCTGGAATAAAGTTGTGGAGTGAATAGGTGTAGTTATCAAATCTGGAAATCTAATATGTCTATGATGAATATTACGCCTAAATATCAGCTTTTCTCTTAAGTATATAGGTTTTGACATAAGTATTAGTTTATGAATAAAAACAAGGTAATGATATTTGACAATATTTTTTGTTATCATCCAGTTTAATTCAATAAGACTACCAGAAACATGGTCAAAGCGCCTTAAACCGCAGATGAACCTAGCACAATTGTTTTTCACAATTTGAATCCGATTTCTAGTAACAACATTGAGACACGGATAATATAAAATATCACAGTAGTTGAAAATCGGCATAACCAAGGATGAACACAGTTTTTTCCTTAGCTTATATTTGAAAATTGCTTTATAGTGATCTCAGTCTCAAGTAGGTTTTCTTCAAAAGATTTTTAACATGGCTGGTGAATCTAAGTTTGAAATCGATTACCACGCCAAGAATCTTAACCTTGTCAACCGGGTACAGTCTTTGAGATCCAATTTTAATAGTTAATCGACTTTTAATTTCTTCTCTCCTAAAAATCCGAACAAAAAAATAACAGGCTGGATTTACCAGGATTCATTGACAGGTTGTGGTTATTCGAGAAGTCATACACTTTTTGAATATCATGGTTTATTGATGTCTGTGCCATTTCCATATCATCAGTATCAAAATAATGGACCAGTTGAGTATCATCCGCAAAAGACTGGAGTTCACAAAAGCTCACAGTCTTAGGCAGATCAGCAATATATATCAAAAACAACAAGGCACCCAAAACAGACCCCTGGGGTACTCCAGACGAGATCCCTAGAAAACTAGATTTATTGTTTTCAATTGATACACACTGCGATCGATCTGATATATAATTTCGAAAAAAATTCAATGCAATTGGATCTATGCCATAATACTTCAATTTTGCTATTAACAACTCATGATTTATTTTGTCAAATGCCTTGGAATAATCGATTGACATCACTGCTACGCCCATTTTTTTATCAAGTGCTCTAATAATATTATCCACTAAGTTTAAGAGGGAAGTAGTAGTACTGAAAGATTTCCTAAAAGCAGACTGATCAGATGGGATGATATGTTCCTCTGCATAATGCATTAGTTGTATGTGGGCTGCCTTTTCAACTACCTTCGATAAACAAGGCAACAGGCTTATCGGCCTTAGATCAGCAAACTCATCTGGATTTGACTTTTTTGGAACTGGTACCACAATTGCTTGCTTCCACGTTTCAGGGAAATAACCTCTTTCAAGGCAACTATTAACAAGGTGGTTGATGTAGATGAGAGTAACAGGCAGACTGAGCTTAATCGTAGACAAGCTCAACCCATCAGTACCTTTTGCATCGGACTTAAAACTAGAAATTATTTCAGCTACTTCATGAGGCTCTAGAAGCCTGAAAGAAAATTTATTAATATGGGGAACATTTTCGTTATAACACCTTAAAACGTGATCAGGAGCATTTGTGGAATCAAAAACTGATATGAAATAATTATTTGCAAGAAACGAGTCTGCAAGATGGTTTGGAATACGTGGCTTATCAGATGTTTGTGCTTTCATATTTTTCAATTCATACCATAATTTTTTCTGATCACACCCTTTTTCCAAGTGAGCAAGATAGGCCATTTTTTCATGTCTAATGCACGATAGTGCAAGGTTTCTAAGTTCCCTAAAAACCTGCAATCTTGCTAGACTTCTGTGTATCTTGTATAAATAATATGCTCTCGTTTTTTGCTTCAGAAGCTGTCTCAACTGATGTGACAACCACGGCGCTTTCGGCTTACTCACGCGTACCGTCCTTATAGGAGAGTGACGATTGAAGATGTCAATTAACTTGCTACTGAAAAATTGAACTTTATCATCAATATTCCTCATATAACAAATTTCAATAAAATTTACTCTAGCCAGGTCATCAATGAAAGATTGCTCATCAAAATGTGAGAAATCTCTGAAGGTGATCATTTTTTGTTCATGTTTCACACGGGATATGTTTAAGATACGGCAAACAATTTTATGATCGGACAACAAATTAGCATCTAAAGTAAACCAGTTAGTGACAGTAATTGGGGTATTAATAAAAATAGGGTCCAGAAGAGTTGCTGTACTATTAGTTACTCTAGTGGGAGTATCAATAATTTGCTTGAAACCATACATATCCAAGCATTGTTGTAATGTATTATCGGCAAATAAATTTACATTTAAATCACCAAGGATAATAATATTTTTAAAATTACTCAGTACATTAGGCATTATATTGTCTAAGGCAT